GAAAAGATATTAGAAACTTAATTAATTTATGCTTTTGTTTTCTACAGCAATTCTGGAAAAATAGTTGTTTTTTACTATGCACAACATCACACAATGGGCTATCTGTGTTCAGCCCACCACTGGTATTAAAACCCAAATTTTAGTATTATAAACTATGAGACTTACTGCTGATCCAGTCTAACCGTTTGTCTACCTGCATGCAATTGCATATTGAACACTGATAAAAGGTCAACTATCTAAATAAAAGCCCTATCAATGAAAATTAAAAACCAAAATATCTTTCATATACAACTGTAAATTTTAACAAAACCTACAGTTACTGATTTTGAGTTGTGTGGATTTTCCCAGTTTGGTAAAACATGAAACAGATTGAATTAAACTGACACCTGGGTAGTACAGACATTCTAAGACTGGACAATCTTTCCTGCTTTGCTTCTTAAGATGAACACAATCTGAATTCTTAACTGAAACAGGCCTCAACATAAATTACAGAAGCAATCCATAACAAAAATCTTATACTATATGGTTTTTAAAGCAAATTCCTCTGAAAAACTAGAAACTGGTTTAATTTGGCCAACAGCTTATAAGTTGAATAACTGCTTTGCTTTCATGTTTTTGAAACAATTGGACTAAAAGTTTTATCTTAAAATATGTTCAAATATTAATTTTGAAAAGGAATATTCTATTAGATATTAAAACTACTCTGACTTTAAGTCAGTATATGTAATATGATATTTGGTAACACTTGAATATTATTCGACATAGCCATTAAATTATTGGAAAATGTCATACTAAATTCAGTCATTATCATTACCTGAAAAAGTGGCCCCTATTACATTTTCTACATTGGCTGCTTGAGGTGATTGTTGTAATGGAGGGGTCATGTAAGGAATCTCAACTGAAGGTATTTGACCAGCAACAGCTTGACGTGCTATAGAGGAATTCCTATTCCCTTCTTCATTGGTATCCAATGGTAAAAGTAAACCTACAATCATCATCATTAAAATAGATGTTGTCATGACTTTTGTCACCTTTTATTAAATGTCACTCAAAGTGATGGAAAATTAACACCAAAATATGTATTACAATAAGTGCTTGCTAAATGACATTGGAAATGTTGTTTTGCTGAACTCTAACCTTCATTCCATTAATTTATAAGTAAAGGCTATCAAAAAAACAAAACAAAATCCTGATATTTTTTTTACCTCATTTACAAAAATAGCCTGATGCAGAAGAGTGACTCAGGGTAAATCTGAAGACTTGTGTCACTAAAAACTGTGTTTTGATATCAGTGGTGTGCACAGCTCAACGTGTATAATTTTGCTTAAAAACAAACAAACAAAACCTAAGTAAATGGCAATGGACATATTTTCTGGAAGAATTGAGTAAAGTAGATTAGCCTCAAAGTGAATGAACCAAAGTAAGGACAATTATAAATACATTATTTTCAGCAGGGTCCCTCCTTGTCTTGGACACCCCAAGTTATATATATAAATGGGAGTTGGGCAGTAATAACTACACCTGTGAAGCCATGCACATTCTCAGGTGTGGTCACAGATGATGGTGCAACAGGCCAGCAGGGTCAGAATGCAACGTGCTGCACCACACATATACTTCTAGTGGAATATTCTCAGTGGAGAACATCGGTAATAACTGAAGACTGGACATCATTCTGTAGTTAAATACCCCTTTATTATAATCTGGAAAGGCTAGCTAAATCACAAACCTGACTTTGTCATTGGGCACCCAGGGAGAATAAAAAAAATCTAAGTGGTCTCAAGAATAGGATTGACAAATCTATACCAGACATAATAAAGAGGTAAGATAATCCCTATCCTGATAGGAGCTATCAGATATCATACAGAGAATGAGCATCTTATATGGAACACCATCCTTTCATGGAGCTCCAGAATTTTGTGTATGAAAATATAGAAATACATAGGATATGCAAGTGCCTTGACTGGACAAATATGTACAAAGAGCATATATTATAAAGAAAACGGTATTTTCTTATTCTATTTGCATTTTTATGTAAATTAAATGATTTCTCAACCTCTGACATCCCTGGAATTGTTAACAGGTATGTTGGATGATAAAGTATCACAACCAGAGGTAAACAGAATCTCAAAGCTGAAGACACAGCAATATTACCTAAATAAAATTTCAAGAGGACATTTGGAGTTGTCTACATGCCAACCTGCATGACATCCTCAACATGGTACTAGGACAGAGACACCAAATTTGCAAATTCATAAAATTGTTGAGATGTAACACAAAATTCTCTTTTCAGGTGTTTGGGAAAAGCACAATAAACAAGCCAGATCAACTGTAAAAAAATCCAAAAAAAGCATGATTCATTGTATAAAATAAACAACTTTTTCTCAGCCTTCCTGAAGGATTCAGTATGGGTGAGATAACAGCAATTAACCTTGACTGGAGATAGGAACTTCCTTCAGAATGAAAATCAGGATCACAGGCAGGGTAGATTACCTTCTCTTGCAGCCAAGTTTTAAGTATGAAGACATGCCATATATCAAGAAAACAATGTATGTGAAGCATTAATAGCAGAAGTATCAGAACATCTTCTACCAAATGTAAGCAATAAAAGAAAATATATTTTGGTGGAATGATATGAGAGCAAGTAAGTCTCCAAAAGCACAAAAGAGGAAGAAGCCAGACAACAAGAAACTAAATCCAAGAATAATTCAAGACAGTGTCTACGAATTTAGGGTTATTTAACATAAAGTGTTCAGAAGAGGTCCTTTAACAACAGGGACAAAAGAAATTGATGGATTCTGAAAATGGTAGATAAAGCAGCTCTGTAACTAGGCACAGAAGTAAAATATGAAAAAAAATAACAATTTGTTGAGCAGCCAACAATCCTGAGAAAAAGTATATGTCAAATTGTTCATCACATGGGAAACATGACAGGCTTGAAGGTGAATATGTTAAAAATGAAGCAAAACTGGTAGTGAAACTGCAGTAAAACAAAGGCTGCAAAAATTAGTATCACCATTATTGTTGATGTAAGTCACCATTGTAGATATTTTTGTGTAAACCAACACAGAAAGATGATGTAAAAAGGGCAAAAACTCAAGACAAGCATGCTGAACAACCCAAAGTTCTAACATGTTGATGTGAACTGTTGCTTCTTGAGAAGACCAGGAACTAGAACAATACTGATGCCTCAACACAATGCCCCAGCCTGTGAGATAGGCATCTGTGAAAATATAATGGTCAAGAGGAAAAGGGAGACCTAGATGCTGTAAACTCTTGAGTCCAAAACTGAAGACACAGAAATGATGGGAGAAACAGTTATGCTGCATGACAATGGGGCTCAAATCAAGTGCCAATGAGAACCTAAGAACCATTGGAGGCATTGCATATAAGCCATTGGCTCCAAAGGCTTGGGATACTATAGAAGATGGCTGAAGTGTTCCTTCAACTGTTTTTATTCAATATCCCAGATGTGCCAAATATATTGTTGGTACTAAATAGGATTTCTGGATAATCCTTCCCAAAAATGTAGACTGAGTGAAAAAATTAGTCTGGATAAGCTTACAGTCTATGCAGAAATGAAACTAAATGTTGAGTGAACGGAGAATACCATCAGATTGCATTACTGCTTGAAAGAAAATATAAGGAGCCAAGGCCACGTCAAAGAAGAAGAGTGTGAACTTGTAAACAACCTTTTGAAGGTAAAAACACAGAAAATAACTGGAGAGTTCATAATGAAGTTAACAGAATGACTGTCAAGAAAATCTGAGAATTTAAACTTACACAGCTGTTGACAGTGTGAATACAACTCAAAAAAAGAAAAGGCTTTTAGTATTTCAGAGATAAGTCTATCTGATTTGATATTAACCTAAATTTTAATAGCAGCATAGAGCCCCATCATCCCAGTTCAATTTAAAAGAATGTTAAAATAGAAAAACTAACACAAAACTCTAATTTCTCTTTTTTTTTCCATAATGCAGAAAGGCTTCTGCTCAGAAATGTGAAGTCAAACTGATTTAGTTCTGCATGATTAAGTCATAGTTAAATGCCAAAAACACAGCATTAATGGTCTTTAGTGTAAAAATCACAAATCTTTTTATTTTTGTTTTCCAAATTTTGCCTGCTAATTACATATGTAACTTGTAGACCATTAATCAACGTAAAATTTCTATTACTGAGTATACGAATGTAAAAAAAGAGTTACAGTTTTTTTTAAAGACAGTTAAAACTATTTTCAAGTTATTATTTGTTAAATTCTTATATAAGTTATACAACAAATAAAGTGGAATCTGTCAAGTTCCAGAGTAACCAAGAAAAACAATGCAAGGAACTCTGTTGTGTTTTCTCCAATAAATAAATATATTTGCATGTAAGGCTATGTGAAAACTTTAATTACTCCTCATATTAAAGAAACAGGCAGAACTACAGAGGTAAATCTATCTCCATCAAGCATATAATAAAATGTTTAACAGGTCTTCCCTAGTCCTGATTGGTTTTAACACTACATGTGCTAAAATGCCAATAACAGCAAAAAAACATTCAGTTTATTAGTCTACAGGCTTAGAAACAAGCAAGAAGTGTCAATGCACTCAGAATATAACGGAGAGCATTGTGAGATTATGTTAATGCAGAAGCTGACAAAGATAAGTGGAAAATTAAGTACACACAACAACTTTTAAGCTTACAATGTATCAAATTAGATACTACTGATATTATTGGAATGACTATTTAAGTATTAAATTGTTTGAAACAATTTATTTATAGATGCCTTCAAAAAACAACAACAAAAACTCTTCATTCTCAGTGTATAGCTGCTAAAAAATTAACAATCAATGTAATAAATATGGATCAAACAAGTAAACATTCTTTCAGTAAATGAGACAGAGGAAATTAAAAAAGAATGGCTTTTTAGAACAATGTAAACAAAATTAGAAAAATTAGAAACAAAAAATAACTTATACAAAAAATTCAAAAAGTACAGATAATTTAATAAAAATCCTAGTTTTTGTAAAGTATATATTAATTATTGATGGGTCAATGCCACCAAATTGGAAATGATAAGCAATACTCAATACCATAAATTTAATAGAAGCTAACTATCAAAAGCTATCACCATGCAATATTTCATTTTTGAAAAAAATAGGGAAAATAAAATAAAACTTACTTATATAAACCTTTAACAAATTCTACAAAATACAAGTCAAGCATTGGATATGAGCCTCACTTTGTAACGTTTTTAAAATTTTATATAGAAGTTTTATAAATTATGTACATAAGACTCAAGTAACTTCTGATCATAATTACACATACCCTTGAAATTTTCAAAGAAGCCCAGAAGTGTATCTTTTAAATATTGGACACAATCATATATTTGTGATATTCCAAAAGAGCAATTCAAATATTTTACAAAGATTCCAACTGTTCTAATTGAACTTGTATACCTCAGGTCAACATTTATGATCAGTATTTGACTACACAAAAAGGGCAAAAACACCATAAATATAAGATGTATATATCCATTCTTGATAAAAAAAATATTTTCCTATTTATACATATTTTATGATAGCAAAAAAATAATAATTTTACTATGCTATTATTAAAATTTGCAATGAAATATTAAACACCAACAACAAACCAACTCATTGTAAAACATATGTGTAAAGAAATTCAGCAAAAGAAAGACAAACCAGAAGCTTGGGATATCAAGAAGTTCTCTGAATCAATTGTTTCTCCATTGGATTGATCTGATGCAGATGGTGGTTGGTATGAGCTGAAAGTAGGAAAGTAAGGCCATACAGGTACTTTTGTGGAAATCTGTCGTTTTTGTAAATGTGTAGCTTCTGGATTATCATAACAATCATCAGTTTCTTGTTCATCTAAATCTATGTGTCCTGGAAGCACTGAGTGGTGAACAGGTTGAGCTTTAATAACCGTACTGTGAGTATGAGAAAGGTTGTTTACACCTGATTCTGATTTCTTTAAATCTTCAATTAAACATGAAGGTTGAAGGAATTCTAATGAGGTGGTTACAACACTGGCTGGAGTCAGGGGTGTAGAGTAAGGTGCATCATCACAAATAGCTGGAATCTAAAAAAGTTACATGTTTCATTACAAGGAAATGTATCGTGTAATCGCAGTTACTTGATATGGTAAAAAATTTTAAACCAATCAATACAAAACAAAGGAATTATAAACAAAACAATATTCACTGAAAGCAATTAACTAACTACAAAATACTGTATTGTCTGTAGTGCAGCCTATTTAAGTCAAATTGCAAGGTGCTTATTAAAACATGTGAAAAGAAAAAAAGCCATGAGGAAAACAATGCTTTAGAAAAAATCAAAATTAAATATCTTATTTTTTCCAAAACTACATACTTATAAAACCTTTACTGAGTCAGTCCGAGTACAAGTTGATTTTCATGATAAGAATAAAAATGCTTCTTTTCTTCTTACAACTTTCAAATTATATTTGCATAATGTCTAGAATCTCAGAAGTGAAGATCAAATTTGTAAACCTTTATATTTTATCTCTTATTTTCTCTACCCTAACACTAATTATAGCAACATCATCAATATACAGAGAAAAAAAATTTAAAAATACGAAATAAAATCAATACTTTTTTTTCTAGAATGACTGCACATTGTAACAAACAATTACAACTACTTATTATAACAGCCTTAGCTATCTAACCTTTCCACATATCCTTTCTTTTAATTCTATTTCATTACAGTGCCCTTTAGACAATATCTAAGTATGTGACAGGCAATTAACCACAGTGGGAGAACTTATGAAAACAATAAATAAAATTACAATCACATGCCCAGAAACTTTTTTTATTTAGTTTTTTCATTTATGTTATTTTTTTATCTAGCCTAACGAGTTGCTAATTTTTGTATTTTAGCTACTTTTGTTAAAAACTGCTTATATAACAACACAAAATATACATAATAAACTAACAATTTTGGTCTTACATTACAGTTGAAACTATTTCAGTAACTTGTACTTGAGGGCACAGCATTAGTTAGCATTAGTTTTTTCTTACTATGTTTGTTCTCCACAAAAGTATTGATGTTCTTTTCAAATATGTATCTTAGAACATAAGAAATTCATCAAGCACTAGAATAGAATGTCCCAAAACTACTATAATTTAACTGTTTTTTAAACTAAGCTATAAATAGGTGAAAAACTTTTGAATAGCTACTCGGAGCAGAAAAAAACAGTGCCAAAATGTCATAGCAGTATAATAAATCTTATGAAGAAAAGTTCATTCTTTTTACTAGTTATAAATATTCCAATAGCAATATCAGATGTAATTACTGAGAATTACGTGAGGGGTGTGTGTCATGTGGGACTGACTTTTTTTCAGTATCTCAGTAAAGTCATAAGATACAAGACTCTAAGTTTATAATTCTGGCTTGTCCATATCTATAGTATATGTTTCTAATTAGTTGGACACTCAGGAAATCATACAAGAGTAGAAAAAATCTAAAATGAGCAATTTTTGGCACAGTCACATCATGTGACACAAGAGAAGTGAAAATTGAGAATTTGTTTAATATTTTCTTTTGAAATTGAAATAAAAACTTAGAAAATATCAAAATCTACATTATAAAATATATTTTAAAGCCAGATTTATTAACATGTATTGATTATAAAACTATTTATTTAATTTTAAATGTACTTCTGGAAAAAGTTATGAATGCACACTTTAACCCTGCAGTGAACATAGAATTACAGGATACAACAGTCTTAAGTTTAGTTACAACACAAACAAGCCAGGAATAAAAACTTGTAAAAAGAATTAATGATCAAATTATAAAATGTAGGTGAAAAATTATTTGAAACATATTTTATTGCTTGATGTTTCAGCTAATTTACTATTCTATGTTCTTCACCTCTTTGTATTACAAAACTTCAATTCTGTATGTTATATATAATGAAATTTCAAAAATAGTCATTTATAGACCTCACTTTGTTCCAACTTAAATGAAGAAAAATGTTAGAAATAATTAAAAAACTTTATAGATAATTAACTTTACTACTTTATTCTTCTTAGAAAAGACAAATTTGTCCTTACATTTAAAATTTCTCGTTGGAAAACAATTGTACGTATGTAATAAAAATCAGTATCACAGAATTTTCAAAGTACGTGAATATACAATACAGTATACATATTTTCTACTTCATTTTATAATAAAAAAACAACTTGAAAACTTGTTTTAATGATTAAACATTCAAAAATACTTTTATGTACATGAAGGAAGTTATTGCCAAATTGTGTTTTACAGCTAAGTGGAGCATTATGCAGAAACTTGTCAGTAATATAAGAAATTAAATGAAAATATACTGCATTAAAATAAGAGAGTAAAATTCTAATTTCAATGATACAGAAATTTTCCTAGTTGGCAATGGTACTATAATCACAAATGTTTTGTTTGTTTCTGAATTTCTTGCAAAGCTACACAAGGGCTATCTGGACTAGCCATCCCTAATTTAACAGTGTAAGACTAGAGGGAAGGCAGCCCGTCATCACCACCCACCACCAACTCTTTTACCAAAGAATAGTGAGATTGACTGTCACATTATAACCCACCACTCCCACCCCCCAGCTGAAAGGGCAAGCATGTTTGGTGGGATGGAGCTTCGAACCCCCAACCCTCAGATTGCGAGTCAAGCACACTAACCACCTGGCCATGCTGAGCCAATCACAAATGTTAAACCTAATTCGTGACTCTATAGAAGTCTTAACTTCACACGAGTTTGTGGTCAAAACTCTTAAATGTTTTCTATGATATATCAAGATTTCTCATACAAGAATATAACGTACAAGATATTTATTCCAAATTTCTTATCTTGAATATTAGAAATAAGAGTTAAATGGATAAAGGTTGAGTTTAATTATTTTCACAATTTATTGCAAAAAAAATTAAATTTGCAACATATCTACATATATATAAGCAAAAAAAAAAACAGCAATCATGGATCACTGCACAGAAACAAATCAAATCAAACTTACCTGAGCAAGTGTATATTTTGGTATTGCATTATAATCAGAGATGTGTGACTAGTGCTGATAATTAATTAAACAGTGTCAGCATTAGAAAAGTTGATACTCCATGAAACTAAAATATTCACACCTTTACTATCCAAAGAAAATTTAATAATACAAATTTTGTGCAATTCGTTTGTTTTTATCAGTCTGGTGTGTAATAATATTTATGTGGTGAGATGAATGGAGAATTGGAGTCGTAAATGATGTAATTTTCATGTTTTTACATTTAATTTTCAATACTAAATGCCACTAAACCTTGAATACTTAAAGCAAAATAATTCAGAAATGGAAAACACTTTATGTGATCAACCTCAAAAAATTTCCCCATCAACCAACTCTGCTGTTGGAGAACTCTAGCCATAGTAACAATGATATTTTATGACTTTACTTCAATATGCCAATAAATAATTTAAAAGAAATATTAAAAACAAAACCCATAAAAAACCTAGCACTTGTGATGGGTCTACTTAAGACTTTACCAACTTTTTAATTATACTTACTTTTTACTACTTTAAAAGAACCTTTAAAGTGTACTGTAGTTACTACTGTTCCTTAAACTATATTTCATTTTATTGGATGTTTTTGCTAATAAAAATTTTAAAAAAAAGTCTTTAAACTATTTCCTTACTGAAACTGTTACTTCATTCGTGGCTGATGGTTTTGTAGCTATATGTTGATTTGCTGATTTGTTAGGGTTCACTATCCCCTTGGCAACAGTTGCATAGCACTCAGAGCTGTTGTCAGCTACAGAGTCTGAGTTTGAATCACTTGTTGAATTGTGTACTGTGGCTGGCAGTGGGATATCAGGCAATGCACGATCCTTGGTTCTATAAAAAGAAATTATGAAATAATCTATTTCATAACTAGTAAAGTTAACATTTTCCTAAGCTGAAAATGTATTTTCGATAAGTACTTACCTCCACTCACTTAATACCTTCTCTTGTTCAGTGCTGCCCTCTATATGTGAAAATGTTTTTGCTCGTCACTAACCTTGAAACTCCCACTTACCCCACATTCAAAGTGGTTTTACTGTATCTTCACATGCAAGTAAGCATGTAGCAACCCTCCACAAATAGGAGCCCAACACACACGCCTGATGCAGGTTACTCCCTCTATACTATTCAGCCAACCCTTCACTTTGAGATTAGACATCAAAGAAGCACTGGAAGTGGAGATGATGGGTAGGTAGTATGAGCAGAGGTAAGTACCTATCGGCAATACATTTTCAGTTGAGGAAAATGTTAACTTCCGATATGGTATCTTAACTCTTTTCACATAATAGCTAGAATCCCACATTGAAAAGGTGGAGGGACCAGTGCAAAAGTTACCTAGAAAAGCATTCTTTGGAAAGTGTCTGAAGAATGTCCAAGTAGTGTAACCTCTGATGAGAGACAAACACACTTATGAGAAACTACATCATATCTGTCCCAGGTATACTCTTCACCCAGTAAGGTAGTAAGTGTTACCTAAATGGGTAGAAATTAGTTGGAACACATTCATTAATATATACATGCTAATTGGTCCAGCTCAACACCCAACACAAACTTCTGAAATCCAAATCCAGGAGATGGCAGGATGGAGGGTTCTCAACAAAATATAGTAATGATGGGGAAAAATAAAACAGATGTGCCCTATGGTGAAGAATGACTAGGGTACATCAGACTGTACTCAGTGGGTCAACTGTAGTCCAAAACCAGGTGGCATTGGGTATTTATCTTCACCTCAAGCATATGAGAATGTACCATCCCATCTGGATATATAGAGTACATATGCACAAATTCTTAACCAGCATCAGCCACTCAGGAACCAAGCATTAGAGTGATGGTAGGCAGGGAAGTGCCTGTGTGGTGGTTCACTCAAATTCAAAACCAAATGGACTTCTGGTTTCTGGTCCAGCTCGATACACAAATAGAACTAATGAATCATGCCCAGCAGGTGGTATGCCTGGGGTTCTTCAACCAACCAGAGTACCTGTTAGCCGGTCCAGTTCCTTGCAATACTGAACTCCCATGCCACAGCTTAATGGAGGAGGTATATTGGGGGTACCCTGACTAATTAGTACACCGTGTTCATGGTAGGATGAGGGCTCCTGACCAACATATGCATGAGGAATTATGTTGTTTGGTCCAGCTCTAGCCCAAAACCTACTTTCCAGGAACCAACATTCGGGCGATGGTACGATGAGGGGTGAACTGCATTTTGGCGGATCTACTGCAGTTTATGAGTCAGTGGAAGAATCTACACCAGCAGAACACCACTGCCTTATTCTCAACTGAATAGGACTGAGAACATTCAGAAGGAAGTCTCAATGGTCCACCACTTCAATGGCTAGGAACTGGCAAGTGTTAAGAAGTCCCTTTCTCCACTCAAAGAAGGGGGGGGGGGAAGTGCATTGGGAGCTCAGAGGAATGCTGACACTGGAGACTGTGTAATGGGTGACCATCGAAATTTTCAAAAGCAGACTGCTCCTGATTTATTCAATTAAAAAACAGCAGCTATCCCCTTTACTTATGATAGTCCATGAGTTAATATAGTCTGGACAGGCATAATTATGATGCAATATACCATGAAGTGAACATACTAGCAGTATATATATATAGATTAGTGGGTCCAGCAGCCCCCTTTCTTCTCTGGTGGGTCATCTCAGCTAACCACTTGTCTGGTCAGGTTCCTTGCTACACCAGCCTCCAAGGTTTGACCCATCAGAGGTGGTGCACCGGGGGTACCCCAGATGGTGTGTGTGTGTGTGTATATATATATATACACACACACACACTTTTTGTGTGATAGGCCATACAGTGTGAACTGTGTGGCTGATAGCCAAAAGTTTCATATACCTGGACAGGCACCACTCACCACTGAGCAAAATCCACTACCTATAAGAGATATGATATAGTAGAATATAGAGAAAAGCAAACTTACCAATACATAGTTGAACCATTGCGTGGAGAATGGCAACAGGTGGAATGCAATATCCAGATGAGGAAGAAACAGTTACATGATGTAGGTAGTGGGAGATGAAAATGTTATTAGTAGCCCACATGGCAGACAGGTGTAGATCTTCCTCCACAAACCCTGCAAGGGATTAGGGGACAGCCTCAGTAAGGAGAGGCATAGTAGACAGGTACTGAAGGATAGAGGTGAGGATAAGCAGGAGTCCGGAAAATTTGGCCTGGAAGAACCAATCTAGAGAATCAGGATTGGCCCTCCACACTTGCATCATAGATTCCAAGAGTTGTGAGTCTAGAAAAGGAATGTCTGCTAGGTGATAAGCCAAAGCAGAAAAATCCAAAGATCTAGGGGGATACAGACAAAATGTAAAATTCCTGTGAACATGTCCAAAATGACTGAGGGAAGCCAGGCAGCATCCGTAGGTGACACAGGGGATTACGTGGTATAGAATAAGGAAGGAAAAGGGTATTCTAAATTCTTAACATCAAAACCAGGCTCCTCTAGCCTTGTCAGCCTAAAGTGTAGAACCTGAAGCCTGAAAAATGACAGACAAAATAGTGGTAGTCACAATAGTGGTACTTGTGACACAAAATTTAGAATTCACAGTTCAACTGTGGTAATTCCATGAAAAATAAAGAAAACCGGAAGTTAAATACCTAACAAATGCAAAAAAGAAAATCAAGTGTGAAGTTAATAGTATGAGCAAAATTGGGTAATGTCTGAACACAACAGTGCCTAAACAAGAAGTGAAAGTTAGGCTGACTATTATAGAGGGAGTAATCTGCATCAGGAGAGATGCAATAGAGCCATGTTGAAGATGGGGTAGGTGGGAGTTCAAGGCTAGTGACAAGTGAAAAAATTTGTATATACAGGGCAGCACTAAATCAGAGAAGCTATTATGTGAGAGGTAAGATACCATCTCGAAAACAATATTTCACATAGCTCACACAGCAAGACAGATTACTTAAATTTTTGTTTTCTTGTAAAAGTGAAAATACTCTTTCTTAGAGTATTAGTAGTAGTTATTATTTTGTTCTTTGACCTTCACAGCTTCAATATAAAACAATTATTCAGTAACAAAAAATCTTAAAAAGTTAAAATTTTTAAGGTATTATACTAAAATAATAATCATAATATTTAAATGATAAATAAGAATATTTCAAGCAGATAGGAAGAATACCTTGCTGTTGAATCCAATGATACAGTATCACAGGTAGCAGGATCTTTCACATGATCATTTGTTTCTGTTCCCTAAAATGAAATAAAAAAGAAATTAAAAAATCAGTGTGCATTAATATGTTATAAGTAATTTGTTTCTATGATCACAAAAACAAACACAAGTGTGTATGTATTTTATGACCATTCTACTTCAAATCAAGTCCAAAAAACTCTCTCTTAACTTATTTGTTTAAGTGTACTGTGCTATAATGTAGAAAATAAACAATAAATTTTACAGTGAAGATACTATCTCTTACTGTCAGGCTGATTGTGTTATCTTAATTCAGAAAAAAAGAGGCTATAAAAGCAGAGATTATCCATATAACTTAGTTGGTAATCATATTTCTATAGCCTTATTAAAAAAATTAAAAAAGACTCTTAGCTATGTTAATAATAATAAATTATACATATATATATACACAGCATGTTGACAGTGGCTTGTTTCACTGAATTAGACTGACTGAACTACTTTATCAGTTACAATAAATATAAAAGGATTGACAACTTTTGTGGATAAATTGATTATATTTTAGGGTATTTCTACAAAAGCTATGTCATTTTTGAGTGTTAAATTAATATTTCACACTTTCTATTATCATTCTGATAACAGAGAACAGAAAACTGGTGGTTGATAAAGCATGAAAAATTGTGTTTTGTTATCTCTAAAGAAAGCATCAGTATATCATATTAGTTACTTGAAGATAGTTTAGGAAATAATATTACAAATTCATGATACATATTGTGACCAGTAGTATCACACACACACACACACACATACAGATATATATATATATATATATATATATAATCATTTAATGCATGTACTTTCTCTTCTGGTCAGTCATCCATAGTCATAAATGGATAAAGCTTGTGGTAATAGCATCCAAAAAGCATTGGAGACATCCCATCTATTAAGCAAAATGCTGAAGTTAAACAAGTTGACCATCATAGAAAATCAAAAGAAGGGTGTTAAGGTGAGTGCTTAAACTCACAACGTCTCACCTCCTACTGCCTTTTGCTGTCTTCGGCCAGACGTAAGAAGGGAGCTACCCTTAAATTTATTTCATTTTCGAAAGTAGAAACAGAACCACCCAAAATTTCTACAGTATAAAACTTCCATTTACCACCCTTATAAAGGTCTTAAAAAAACAAAATGAAAAAAAAAAGTAACTTACTTATAAATTGTCAAACACTTATTCAAGTATGACACGGGAAAGCTGAGGAAGGCCCAGCTACTTTAAGTTGGTCTTTCCAGTCCCGGCATACTGAATAAAAAACTGGTTTTATAACTAAGTTAGTTATTCAAGGTCACCCTTGATAAACTAATGACCTCTAAGTAAGAAGTTTTCCATAATTGAAAGTATATTATTCAAAATAAATGTATATATATATATATTATAAAAAATAGTAAAAAAATATGTTGAGTTGTATATCTTTATATCCATTATTTTTTAGTTTATTTATGAATAAGGAAACATTATCCACAGAAAGAGTTACTACTATTGCATACCATTAAAAATTATTTCAGTTGTGATAAAATAATCCCTTTTAACAAAACATTAGGAATAACACTATAGGGAGTAGGTAAACCAAGGATGGGAAAATTAAATTTTCTTCTTTCATCAAAAATGGTCAACTGAACTTTGCCTTCTACAAAATAAGTGTCTATGTCCATATAATTAGCTATTACTTTTTTCTCTAGTCAATTCCTTAGGATATATTATATTTGGGGCAAAGTTTAAATTATTTATTGAAATTAAATCATCATATATCAGAATGTATAGTTCAATGAATTGAGATCTAAACTTTTTATTAAAAATGAATATTCATAGAAAAACAGATTCAAATTGGCCATATTTGAAGAGAAATTAGCACCCACTTGAATACCAACTGTTTGTTTATAGATCTGTTGGTTAAAAGTTATATGACTATTATAAATGCAGAAGTACAGTATATTTTTACATTGGATCTTAGTGAAGTTTATCTCTGCATCCATAAAGTTATCAAACAGGTTATTAAATACTCTAACAAGGTCATTTAAATATATTGTATATTTAAATATAATGTGGTAAAATCGTAAGTCGTGACTGAATTGGAATATTATTTTTTATAATCCAAAAAATTTCCTAAATTTATTTATAACACTGTTTTTATATTTTTAAGCAAAATATCTAAAATTGTGTTAAGTACAATGGAAACAGATTTGGTAACAGTATTTAAAGAATTGGTAATAAATCTAAATTGTACAGGATTCTTATAGCAGTCTGTGTAAATATTCCATTTTTTAATGGCTTTTTTATATTAGTAATATTATATTAGCAGTTTTTTGTAAAAGTACTTGAGATATTGATTTCATTAATTAAAATTTGGGCATATAATTTTTTACATGTTGGTGTACTTTGGTGACAGATTTTCTTGTAGGCAGATTTTGTTAAACAAGACT